ACAATGATGTATTTTCATAGTAAAAGGCACTAGACCCTTTTAAATGAGCTTGCTGCTAAACTGTATTTTCCTTTGACGAGAGCTACATCCCTTCACCTGTTTTTCTTTGTTTTTGTTTTGTTGTTGTTTTTCTCCATTAAAACTCAGTGAGCCAAACTCAACCCAGGGGCTCTGTTTGGCTCAGCTGGTTTAATCACCCTGACCTCACGTCACCTTTCTAATTGATTACCTCTTGCTCAGGCTTGAACTGAATCAAAAATTATTTCTTTATTTATTTTTTGTTGTCATCCAGTGCTAACCTTTCCTTTCCCATAAGCTGAACAGCTGACCCTTCCTTCCTTATTTCTCTTCCCTCTCCCTCTCTCTCCTAGTTGATGCTTCCACCAGCCTTAACCTTGAGCGCACAGCGCTTGCTAGAAAGCGATTCACATTGCAAGGTCTTTCCAACCGCAGAGCTCCACCCAAAGGTAAAATCAACCCATGCAGCATTTGGTCTCTGGCCATCTGTCTCCTGCACTCCCACAATGTTCTCTCCATCCCATAGTGCCATCCATCACTATTTCCTAAAGTGCTGCCGCACCTCACCAAAATGCTCCTGTCTGATACACACATATGGCTCCCCTTCTCAAAGATGCTGTTACCAAAAATTGCTCCCACGGCAGTGTTGGCAAGGCAACCTTTGAGTTGACTGGTTGGATCTTTTACTGGTGCACGGTGCAAATAGCGTTTATTTCCAATTTCTCTCAAGGGCCAAAGCGTGAACATGTTTTGAACCATCAACTTAACTTCTTTCAGCAGTTTACTGTCTTGAAGGGAAGAGTGTCATTGTGTTGTCCTACACAAGGTTTTTATGTGTCAAATTGTTCATTGGTTGGACCTCTTTGTTTTTTCAAATGTTGCTCAGCCATGGCCTAGTGGTAACACTGAGGAACCGGAATTCAGAAGATCTGGGGTTTATTGCCATTTCTACTTAATTATGTTATATGACACTGTAAAATGGTGTGTTCTGAGCCTTTGTGCATAAATGTTTAGAAGACACTTAATATCCATGAGTAGAGAGCATTGCATGTTCCTGTGATGGCTGTACAAGGAAGAGACTTTAGAGGAAAGAAAGAAATGTGAATAGAAATTAAATTGAATGACTACTTGCAATTACTTTCTGAGAAGATAATGTAATTACTTTTTTAATTATTATTATATGACTTTTCTCCTGTTCTGATAAATTATATTTCTTCTGTGAGACAAAGGGTTAGTGTGCAGTGATGGAGAGGGTGAACATCAAAGAAGGAAGAAGCAAGTTGAAAGAATAAAAATTACAATGTTATGAAGTAGATGAGAATACACCAAGAGCCAGAGCAGCCATAAGATTCTGGCTGCAAGGTTAAGGCTGCACTTGGTAGCCAGATCTAAGATGGACAAACCAGTTCAATGTTCTGAATACAATAAAGGGAGTGGTTTTCAGATCCTGTGACTTGGGGAAATAAATTCCAAAATACAGATTTCAGAAATGCAGTAATGCGGGTGAGTTTGGATCTGCAGTTTTGGTTTGGGCCTCTTTTGCTCTTTTATCTGAATTTTTTTTGTCATGTGAAATGTCTTGCATTTTATGCAGTCATTCCGTGTTCCAGACAGCAAAGCACAGTTCAGAAGAGTTCATACCCCCTAAGCCGTAGGCAGTCTCAGCTCAAAGACTTGCTGGGTCTGGTTCCTTCAGATTCCTGTGAAGCCCCTCCATTATGCAGTGTCCCGTTTCACTTTCTTGCGCTGTTCAGTTGCTAATCTGGTCCTGGCCTAGAGGAAACCAGTTGGCAAATAGTCTGGATGATTTGCAGAGTGTGGTCATTTCTGTAGGCAGTGATGATGCAAAGCTCTGTTAGCACTATACAGACCGGCTGTTAAGGCAGATGGGAAGCTGTGAGAAGGTAACAGGGAAGTTACTGCAGTAAGAACTTGTCCTGCTCTTGACCCCTTTGTCTAAGGATTTGTTACTGGCCGTGGCAGGAGGTGGTGTACTGAGCTGAGCATACTTTGGTTCAGACCCACTGTGTCTGTTCATGTCCATAACACATAAAAGGGAAGGTTTAAACAATAAAATAACAAGACAACTAGGGGGAAAACAAGATAACCTGATAGATATCAACTGGCAGTGGAGCATGGATTCTCAAAGCATTGCTGAACTGTGTGCCCAGGCTGGATATGACGGGGTAGAAAACGTTGTACGTAAGCACCTTGGTGTTTTGGCCAAAGAAATGCCAATGTCTGGAGGAGAAACTTTACCATCCTGCACACCATCAGTGCAGAGACCCCAGGGCAGCCATACCAGAACCGATACCAAAGTGTGTGAAAGCCCACACTCATAGCACTCTGCATCTCCCCGCCTTGGGTAGGCGTTAGCTGTCCTGGTTTGCAGAGCCAAGCTTATATTCCTTGGAGTTGGCACAGGGTCTCTAAAAGCTGCATGATGTGGTGTAAATGTAGCCCAACACCATAGTTATAAAGTGAAATTTTCTTGGTATTTTAATAAGGGCAGTTACAGCAGTCTAAATGTGGAGTCATTCCATTGTAATTATCACTGAGAGCAGAGTTTAACCTCGCCTTTTTCTTCAGCTTTTTTAGGAGGTGGGAATAAGGATCTACTTGAATATATGTGCTTTTATGAGTAAATTGATAAGGAAGTGCATTGGCAGATACAGAATTTACAGTCTTTTTACAGTAGCCAATCTACAGTTAAAATTGCACTGAGATTTTAAGGAGCTAATATGGTTTCCTGATGTTTTGGCATAATAAAACATTATAGGAATTGCAGTTCAACCAGTCACGCTAATTTCTGCTCCACTGGAAACATACAGTGAATGTGACATTTACTAGGCAGAAATATGGAAAAAACTAAAAGTAAAGAGAAACGTTGTGTGACTGAACATTAAAATAAGGAAACATGAAGATGAGGAATGGGAAAGAGAATTTTAAGATCCCTGGCAGGGAAATCTTCACGGTAGTATAGTTCTGCACAGGTTATTTAAACCTGAAATATAAAATCACCTGAAACTTATTTTACTCCAGTGCTGTATGCCAGTTCACCATGGGGGAAAAAAATAAAGAGAGAGAAAAGAAGATAGACATGATAACAGAAAGGAAAGAATTGGAATAGAAAAGTCCCTTGAATCACAGGCACCATTTGGGAACATCTGGGCTAAGATTCAGCAAAGCATATAAGCATGTGCTACAAAGAGTTTTTTGTGTTTTGTGGTTTAACCCCAGTCGGCAACTAAGCCCCACACAGCCGCTCGCTCACCCTCCCCCCTGGCGGGGAGGGGGGGGGAGTAAGAAAACTCATGGGTTGAGATAAAGACAGTTTAATACTTGAAATAATAGAATAATGATGATGATGATAGCATTATCATCAGAGAGATGCATCAGAGAGAGAAAAGCAAAAACCCAGGGAAAGAAAAAAAAATTATGCAATCGTTCACCACCCACCAACCGACACCCAGTCAGTCCTTGAGCAGCGATCACTGCCCCCCAGCCAACTCCCCCCAGCTTCTATACTGAGCATGACGTCCTATGGTATGGAATGTCCCTTTGGCCAGTTTGGGTCAGCTGTCCTGGCTGTGCCCCCTCCCAGCTTCTTCTGCACCTCCTCGCTGGAAGAGTATGGGAAGCTGAAAAGTCCTTGACTTACTGTAAACACTGCTTAGCAACAACTAAAACATCGGTGTGTTATCACATTATTCTCACGCTAAATCCAAAACACAGCACTGTACCAGCTACTAGGAAGAAAATTAACTCCATCCCAGCCAAAACCAGGACAGTGTGAAATAACTCTTCACCTATCCCAGGAAACTTTCCAGTGAAAATTGAAACAACTATTTAATTTTTACATAAATATTTCTTTGATATCTTTGAAAATCACAAATAGTTTTTGACAAATGTCAAAAACCTTCAACAGAATATTTAAAGCCATTTCTAATACGATTTTCAACAGAGGTTGTGTCCTGGTAAAGTGTTCAAGTATCTTACCTGAAACTGAGATATGAAGCATATGAACAGCTTTACTCATGTCTCAATGGAAATACTCACTTGAGTAATGCAGCACATGTGCTTAGAGTGTTTTCGGCAGCAGAGACTAAAAAGTTAATCCTGAAATATTTGTAAGCAAGCAACATTTCCTCCCAAGTGGTGCTGCTGTAGTTGGTAGGTGCAAGAAGTGTACTGATGTGCTTGTACATATGTAGGCACAATCTCTTAAGCGCTGCATAATGACCTTGATGTGTTTTGAAACAATCATTTGCTCTCTGAAGCTAGCATACAGTTAGTCCATTTATACCTCTGATCTGTTTATGAAATATTTTGAGTCAAAAATGCTACTCACATCATACAGTGAAATCTGAGGAAGTTGTGTCTTCATTCCTGAGCAGACTTTGAGAAAAGGCAGGATCCTAATCTGACTCTGTTTGCCTAAAAAACCTCTGTTGTCTTCACTTTCTCCAAGCTGATTTGTACCAGTAAAGATGGAGGCTCAGAGAACGTTTTCAGGCATCACACAGTTAACTTCTAAAAATGACAGTTGTGAACTCCAAGCCATTCATGTTTGTTTTTCAGTGTATTTCAGGTCAGTCATCACAGAACAAGCAGTTCAGTGTCTAAAATAATCCAAACCTCATCTGTAGACGCACACACCATTCTAACCATCATGCTCATCTCTCTGTGTTTTGTAGCTGTACTTAGGCTAGTTGGCTGCTGCTAAAATATTAATTGGCATAAGTCTCGCTTCTGAAGTATTAAAATTGGTGCAATTGGAATTGCTTTGAAAAAATGTGTTCATATAAACTCTTTTCTTTCCCATTCGCTTTGTTGAGGGTATTTTTCCTGGCTGTTTTAGAGGAGCAACCTACCTTTTATTTACCCTTTTCCAGCTGCTGCTTTGCTTTGGACATCTTTTACCCTCAGTGCTTATTAACCTCTAATCCTGCCCTGCATTGCATCTGTCTATTCTCCCAGATCCAGAATCTAAGGAAAGAGAAGTTACCCGTCGCTTTTCCCTAGCCTCCTCCATCAGCACCACAGTTAATGCTTCTGCTGTGACCAAAGGTACCGTCATGCTGCTTGCTTAGCTACCCTTCTCCCTTTTGCTGTTCACAGAGTGAGTACATCAGACTCAGTTTTTATAAATGCAGGAGGTTCCAGTAGAAGAAGAGTCAGGACCAGTGTAACACCTGCAGGGAGGCAGGCCAAGACATTTTGAATGTATATCAAGGTGTCCTGGCAGCATATATAATGACTCTTCTGAATTTCTCCATAATAGGCTTCAAAGAGTGGTGCTGGTTTCCATGGAAACTGGGTTAATTTTTGGCTGATGTGGGGTTAGGTTTCCAATTTCTCCCTGGTTTGGATTAACTGAAATTCAGTAGAAATTATTTCTCCATTTCCTTAAAGCTGTTTAGGATTTTTGCTTTCAAGAAGGAGAGAATCTCCTCATTGTGTAGCAGACATCAGACAGCAAGAAAGCCTGAAATCAAGCTAAAAATGGAGTAGCAATAGATACCAGTTTTAAGAATATTTAGCATAATCACAGTTTTGATTAGAAATTATGATTGCAAGGAAATTTTCAGATGTGTAAGGGAGCTAGGTGCCCAGAATGCACTGAATCTATGCAGTTTGTGTGGGAACTTATGAAACTTTTATTTTTGAGCTGTAATTATTTTGAGAAAAGGCACTTTTACAAAATTTACTTTAAGTTATTGCACTAGTGCCTACACTTAAACTCAAAAGCAACCCATGCGTTTGGGCAAGCTGGTTGTGTTGAAAATCAGTAGGATTGTAGGCACCTATGCCTACACGTTAGAGTTACTTTTGAAAACAGAACATATGGTCTTACCTCGAATTCTGAATATATTGTCTTTTGGCAGTTCCTGGAATGAAGTGGAGGAACTGATTTGCAAGTTTAAGATTTGTGGGGCAATTCACAAACCAAAATAGAAAGAAAAATGGCTGAATTAATTTGTATAAAAACCTTTGCTATATATTTGTCAGGAAGAAGGTTGCACAGTACTTGATGTAGTGCGTTCTAAATAGTTGTGAAGGATATGAACCGTATCCTTGACTGTGCAATGAAGCAGCAGGTATCTGAAATGACCTACTTCCAGGGTGTCATGAAATGGGAGTGCAGTGGGGTTTATTGGCAGAGGAAGGATGTGATATTACCGCTACCTACAATGTTTCTTTGCCAACCTCTTTAGACCATAACACTACAACATCACTACATGGAAATGATGGGCATAGCACAGGAGAAGAGGTTCTTATACCTTTCTGTCCTTGGCAACAGCTTCAGAAATACATGATCACTTACTAGGTTACGGGAAGACTGAATTGTTTCCTAATGCTGATTTCCTAAGCTGGGGAACAGAAAGAAGCACATGTATAGAAGGAGAATGGGCAACCAAGGATTGCTCTTTAGTGTGGTTTATCGAAGAGAACATGTATGAATTACAATGAAATTCAAAATTTGTTACAGTTTCATATAAAAAAATCCTGTCCTGGGATCCTGTCCACCACAAGACCATTGGCAATGTTTTGGAATGCTGAGAAAACTACTTTTGTAATGATTTTAAAAGCTAGAAAACAAAATCAGTGCTTTTCAATTAAGTGTTGCATTTACAGCATCTGCTTTAAGAAAATATTTCAGATGACAAAAGAACTGAAGCCTGAGTCTTGTCTCAGCATTAGCCAAATGCAGATCTAGCCAGGGTGTTTGGATCATCTCATTCAAGGCTACTACATACTGCTGTGTACTGATCCTCACTGCTAACAGTTCAGCTCTGCCACGTCACCGGTCCTCCACGTGTGGAGTCAGGACACAGGAGAAGCACTGTACATGGACCTGTGACGGATGCCCTCCACTTCTGTGGGGCAGAAGTGTTGGCTTTTGTGGGCTCTTCCCTGCCAGCCTTATGGGTAGAAAGCTGAGATTGTGAGTCTACCTGCATTAGTGCCATCTCCTGCACAAGCACGAGAGAAACCATCCGTGAAACCTGATTGGAAGCAGATACATTTACTATGTCTTAAGGTCTTTTGCAAAAAGGCACCTGTTTCCTATCCACATCACAGAAGTGTTTATCTTCACCACTTATAATTTAGGGGTTGGTCATTTTTCTGGGTGAAACAGAAAGTATTAGGCAGGTAGTGTTTCCAGGTAATGGGAAAGCAAGTTTCTCCTTTAACAATATTTACAGCCTTGTGACTCTGCAAACTTCACACAGGTCCCCTTGTTCCTGCAGTTAAAGTCAAGAGACATGAAATAAAGAGTGACCCAACTCCCCTGGGGTTTGAAGGTATGAGCATTTCCATCCTGCATGAAAATCTGTTTGGCAATCTTTTGATATTATTAACTGAATTCACATCTCATCACTGCTGGCAGACGACACTGGAGTCCATTAGGGGTTTGGTGTCAGTTTATCTGTTTAACTCTGATAAACACAGCTTGTCACCCCCTTGCCTGTCCCCTGCACTCATGTTATATTTACCAACTTTCACCTAGGGGTGGGCCTAAATTAAAACCCCAATTCTCTGCCAGTTTTGGGAAATAATACTCTAGACTGTGATCTGAATCTGGATTTTCTGCCTGGCTTCTACCTCACTCAGTAGAGTGCAGCAGCAGGGAGCCAAGGGGCTACTTTTCACCTTCACCCGCAGTCTGGCCGCTTGCATCCCTCTTCCCTTGTTAGTGTCTGTACCTAATAAGAGGAGCAGGAGCCATGTGCATGAAGACTACAGAAGAGGCTAGGCTGTGCATTAATATCCATTTAAGGTGCAGTGTTTCATTTCAGCCAAGCAGAATTTCCACCTATTTGTTGCAGCAGATTCATCAATTACTGTTTAATAAACAATGCCAAAGAATTAAACTGGGAAGTTATTCCCCAGCCACTGGAAGATCACCAGCTTCCATTGTCAGCTTTTCCCTTTACAAGAGGATTTGCCAGAGCATGTTGCCTTGTGGGGCACAAGCAGTTGGGTACCCTTGTTGCAGGACAGGGAGGAGAGAGATGTAAGCTGAGGAATCTTTTCTTAGGATTGTGTTGCTCTATAGAAAACCTTGGTAGAAAGGGCAAGTGGCCAGGTCAGTGATGGAATTGGTGACATATCTGAGCTATCTCCTGTGTGGCTCCCAGCAGAAGAGCACACTGGAACACAGAGGTTGGAAGAAACAGTTCAGAGGCAGCAGAGGAAATAGTGGTTTTGCTGTTTGCAGAATATTTCCTCTTGCCAGTGACCCCTGGCACTAAGTTTGGAATCATCCTGGTACCCAGCATCAGTTTCCCAAACTGTGGTGTTTCTACCTCACTTTCCTCAATGACAGATACTTCTGAGCTCAGCAAATGATGTGGCTGCAGAGGCAGGGGGTATTTCAAGGTGCAAGTACTATCCATAGGATAGAGCTGAGTTGATCCTCACTAGTTAAAAACATGGTCCTACTGCACAACGTTCCTCACCAGACTGAGTTTCTTTAAGTAGGAAACAATGAACATCATTGTCATCCCTTTACCAGAAGATACTGCTGCTATTGCCAGAGCTCTGACAGAGTTAACGCAAAGGATTTGATTTACTTAGATGAAAACGTCCCCCACAAAATTGCATTGCATTTATCAAGAGTGAGATCATTCATTTCTGGCGGGGAAGAAGACCCTCCCTGGTCCCCTTTCATTGCTGTATGGATGGGCATCAAAATCATATACCCTCACCTACAGAATGATTTGAAATGCTGCAAGGAAAACATGTTAAAAATGTGTAAGGAAGCTGTAGTGAAATAGAACACTGCACTGTTCACCCAGCAATCATTTTCCTTAATTAACATCAATATTTCTGTTTGATTCATTTGGCTGTTCTCTGTCCTTCTCAGACTTACAGTTTTTCTGTGGAATGCTGCTGTCTTTTCACTCATTTGTGCTGGTCATGTGTCTCCCTTTTTATAACTGTTGGACCCCAGTCCACCTGTTTGTTAAAGAGACTGCCAGTTACAGAGGTGATACAGGAATTCACTTTGTACTGGTTGTCTGGTCGCTGTTTCACTTTGAAGACACAAAATTGTACTTCCTGTCACAGATGCTTTTGAGAACACCATATTGGCCCAGACTAAATGTAATACCAGTTCCACCACGAGACCTGTACCTAGATCTGCTTCACAGACAGGTAAACAAAAGTAAAACATTTATCATCTCAATTTGAGGGTGTAATATAAATTTATGATAATATTTACTCTCTTTAACTTAAAGAGATTTTTCTCTTTTAATGAATATTATTTGCAGTGAAAGCAATAAAAGAACAAGCTTGGATCACTAGCAGGTATAGAAACAATGTCGCAGATTCTGGTTTTCTGTAGGTCAGGCACAGCTGAAAACAATTCTTTTAATTGATGTCAGAGAGCACAGAATTTGATCTGTGTTAATTTATAGCTTGAATTAAGCACATAAAACTTAGGCTATTTCTTAGTCTCTGAAATTAGAATAGCAATTTGTATGGAAGAGGAGGGCTGATGCATGTATTTGTAAGGAATCCTTGCTGTTTAGGCTTCTGCCTTGGATGCTTTCCACAAATGACAGTGACAAAAGGTCACTGAAGCTTTGTCTAAGTGGGAAGGGGGATATCTTTTTCTTTTGGTGTTTGTAGCCCAGCCTGTGAACTTGAACTAAAATTGCTATAGCAGTTTAAAGCCCATTAGCATCAATGTATTCTTGTACATTTAGAGAGTTGCTAGTATTTTGCTGGTGTGATTCAACTGATACAGAATATGGGGTCCAGTTCTATATGCTGCATGGTCTGTAACTGTAATTGAAATTGTCTCTTTGGTCTCGAAACTCCATTGGTATAGACCTTGGCAGGGACACTCACAACCCAGCACATGAATGCCACTTCAGAGGGTAGTTTACACCTTGAAAAGTACGGATGACCTAACCATACCTGTAGGGTTATAACTGGGGATGCTGCTCTGGTGGAAGAAGGTCACTGTCTCTCTTGTGACTGAATTGCAGTGGTCGGGGCAGTTACAGCCCCTATGTAACGGGAGGGAGGAGAAGGTGCTGCAGAGCTGCATGACCACATGTTGCACCAACCAGTGCCTGTAGCAGGGAGGACGTGCATGGGGACAGATTAAATAAATCGATTAATAAACCTATTTCTCCCAGATCAGATCGCTTTTCTGTTTACTGCCTGAGCTGCCTGGCTTGGGTTTTGTATTCTCTCAGGCCAGGTTTTGCTGTGGGTTGTGAGTGCTGGGTTACGAATAATCCCACTGCATGAGCATCTGTCTCCGTGCAAGGTCTGTTTCCTCCTAGCTTGACTGTAGTCATCCCTGTCAGAAAAGGGGCAGGCATCAAGTGTGAAGGAAAGTGTGGCTCATGATTGCCATCTGTACAGAAGAGGCTGAGTTACTTTTCCATCATGGGAGCCTCAGGCAGGCAGGTCTTCTAAGGCTCAGCCTGAATTTCCCTCAGGACACATCCTCTGGGCATGCCTCTGTAGGTAAAGAGACTGGCTGTTGTGCTTGGGCTGGAAATCTCTCATTACGTCCCTTCCACTGGGCTGGGGTGGTTTTGGGTGCAAATCATGCAATAAGACTGCTATCAGCAGAAATATTAATGAGATCATCTCTACCTAGCACCAAGGTCTGGTTGTCTTTGTGCCTTCTTGTTTACTCTGTCCCTTCCCTGCACTTCCAGCCTGCTCCAGGGTATAGTCTTGTAAGTTGCTCAGGTGGTAATATCACCTTGGGGTGAGATGGAGATAAGAAGTCAACCAAAATTCAGTGGCTTCGGACTTCAATTTATAGATAAATATGTGGAGGTAAGCTGGAAACTGAATGAGCATGGCTTTCTGAAAATCACGTCAGCAAAAGTTATCTTTTGCTACAGCACTCGCTCTGCAGAAATATTCCTGGTCCTTGCTTTTTGTACCTCCTGAACTGAAGAGGTTTAGCAATGCTAAACACTCAAGGTATTGGTGGGCATGCACTGTGGCCACACAACCTGCCCTCCCACAAATGACAGCAAGTGGTACAGGTTTTTAGAGACAGAATAATGGCTGCAATGTAATTTTTATGGCAAAATCAGGGAACAAGCTGTAAAATGGTACAAGCAATTCAGTAAGTGGAATAGTGGGAAGTGAACCTGTGACATTTATTTTTAAAAGACTGAGCCTGAAAGAGGCTAATGACTGTTAGCTAACTTTTTTTGTTTTATGTCCTTTGAAAAGGTTGGCCCAGCAGGCAAATGCCATCTCTAGACACATTTGAAGATTTTGAAGCCATCCCCTCCAGCACAGATGAACTCTCCAACTCTTCTGACTTGGAGGAAGAGACCAACCCTAACAATGTAATTCCTTTTTCAAATTATGCTGCCCTTTCCCAGTACAACCTCCTCTCCTCTAAAGATCACTATTTAACCTGCAAAGTTTGGTCTCATACCAGCCTTAAATTCATGGATGTGTGGGAATACAGAAGGTGGGAATTTGATCTGGGGTGTTGGGAGATTATTCAAAGACTATTTTGTTGATCAGGATCAGGACCGTAAAAAGTCACCCTTACTTGTAAGCTGTAGCTTTACCTGTTACAAAAGTGAGGGAAAACTCTGAGCCTTTAAAAAAGTAATTTTAGACTTTTCCAGATAACTTAACCTGGTGTCACAAACCCAATTTCTGTATCAGAATAATGGCTGGCCGGTTAATTCTAAAGCCTGAATGCACAGCACAGTTCTGTCCGAAGTTTGAATAATATTTAACCTGGGCATGATAAAAGGAATAAAAAGTGACACAATTCCCTGCAGAAGAAATCTCTGCCAGCTTGAAATGCCTAATTCAGTATTTAACTAAACTCACTCTCTCTTGCACAGTGTTCTTGCATCCATAGTGACTGTATTTGTGGTGCATTGTTTCATTCATTTTAGGGGACCAATCTTTTTCGGGTAGAAGGCAGTTTTGACAGCTGTTTTCCGGATTCTCTTACACTCGAGGATGGAGATTTAGTGCAGTTTGTGCAGGAAGGAGAGAACGGTCAATGGTAAGTAGAGCAGAGAGACAGAATTTGACAGGTAGAACAGCCAGAACCTCCTGGAAAAGATGGAAAATATTCAGAAGAATGTCAAAGCCTCTTCAAAATCAATCCAAATCCACTCACCCCATTGACCACAATGTGAAAGAGGCAGTGGGAGGCATGAACACACAAGCAGCTTTGGTTAATTCCACCTGGTTGGCTTTCATCCTAAATGCTTGTGACATGAGGCTTAAGAGGACAGAGGTTTGCATAAAGGAAAGGGAGGGGAATATTTGGGCTTTTGACACCTTCTAGCCAGAAGGACAACTGTCAAAGGCAGCACCCTCCCATAGGATACATCAATAAAATCCCCATGCCTTCCACTGAGCTGCAGCAGTGAACCAGAGAGCATTTTTAGCCCCAAAGGCTTAGATATAAGACGTGATTGACAAAGTGGGATGAATCTGGCCCCCTTGAGCTCGCTTACGTTTCGGTGTATTTATTCTCTCTTGCTGACAAGTAAGTGTTAGGAACAGACCTGGCCGGATATGTGAATTCTCCTTCCATGGGTAATTTGGAGGGAGAAGATCTGATCTCCTTGAAGTGCCCGTGCAGTCAGACCCTTCACTCAGAACTGTCATGCAGCTGAGACGGGAGCAAGTCCCATAGGGTGAAGCAGGTGGGAAGTGAACTAAACCCATCCACCCTGGATGGTATTTACAGCAAGGGGGATGGACAATATGAAAGATTCATTTTCTTCAGCTCTGAATTTGGCCCAGGGTCTCAAACGCAGGCCAAGGCCACTGCTTCCTTGTCACACAGTCTGCTTGCAAGTGAGCTTGATCTGGGATACTGCGTCACCATCTGAGACTGCTGAAACTTAGTCACCGGCTACGTGGGAGGTCCTGGGTAGGACTTCCCTGGGTCCTCTGCCTTCTTCCTTAGTTTAGGAAATAGCTGCCCAACATGCACCTCTAAGAAACCCAACCCAGGGAAAGGGAATGTAGGGAAATTCACTGCCTGTTCTCTGAATTTCAGGTTAGTGAAGAAACTGGTCTCCGAGAAAAGCGACTGGGTTCCTTCCAGTATATTGCAGCCAGCAGAGGGGGACAGTAACAACATAATTAAGAACAGCAATGCAGGTAATAGAGAAAATGTGTTACTGGCATTTTTTTTTTCATACTGAAAAAGGATGTGATAAGAAAGGATGTAATAAACAGTGCACTTTCTGTATTAAAGTACTTGGCCTGAGTGTATGCCTGTGCTGCAGTCTCTGGTGACGTAGCTGAGCTAGCCTGAAATTTGGTGCCGTGGGTGTCAGAGCTAGTTAGGCACAGCAGCTTACCTTGGCACGGTTTAATTGTTTTCCCCTTCCTGGGCAGAACTTGAATCTCACACCAAACTCCTGTGGCTACCAGTACCCAGGCTGGCTACTTTACAGCTAGCCCAAGTGTGTCACATGGAAGGGTGCGTCGTAACTGCAGGATAGCTTTCATCCTGACACGGGTAGCGTTTGGATTTAGATTAGCATCAGGGCTGTGGTTCTGGTCTAGGTTTGAAAACATTAAAATCTCATGAACCATTATTGCTTTCATCATATTTCACTGCTGGCTCCAAAGACTGGAGGAAGGGCTGCTCTGGTGAGATTTCAGCCAAATCAGCATTAGTCATGCTTTCTTCAGCTTTGGTTCTGACCTAACACCCAAATAGGTTGCATTGGAAAAGCTGAATCTCAGCAACTCTGCAGATCAAAGGTTTACAATTTTAGATTAATTTTTGCCCATCCTTAAATATAATTTACCAAAATGTGTCCTGATTTTCTTCTGGTAACAGAAGAAAGCAAAATCTGGCACAGCCATTCCCTGGGGACCTGCAGTAGAGAGCTACCAGCATTTTATTCTGAGTTACCAGTTTCTTCTGATTTTTTTTTTTTGTCAGTTTGTTAAAGTGGAGAAAAACTTTTTTGAAAGTTAACCAGAATTCTTTGCTGTGGTTTAAAGGGAGTTTGGTAATTACTGCTCATTCACCTCCGCAGCAGGTCAGTTCTGTCTTCACCCTCAGTGCCTAACTACAGCTCTCATTTCTTTGGCATGTCTAATGCTTCAAAAGAAAAATAAAGCCACACACATTACAGTTAGCTTCATGCCAAAAGAGCCTCCCTTGCCTTTAGTAAAGGAATTAGGAGAGCAGTAGAATTGTGATTATTTATTTTTTATTTTATTTCAGGCTTTTAACAATGAACCTCAAGACTGTAGATGGGAAATCCTTTAGATGTATTGTAGTGACAATGCCCATGTCCTCCTTTTCAGACATGTACAACGATTCCTGCAGTACGGCCTCAGTAGAGTCAGACACCAAGGAGAGCGAGGTGGCCAAAAGCTTCCCAGCAGAACAGAGGGCTGGCAGCTGAACAGCAGGACCAGCCTTCCTCAGGACCCCATCCATCTCTGTTTATTTTGGGTGGACACTGGATCAAAGTTGCCTTTCTCACAAGCTCTGAGGTTCATAATTCACTAAAACTTTATCAGCATGAACAGATGAGAACTGCGCTGTCCACCTGGCAAGCTGGGAAAAACAAACTTGAAAGGAGCATTAAACATCCAGAAAGCATCAAAAACCACCTTCAGTATTAGAGGAGAAAAATGCTTCTCGCATTGATTATCACACTGTTTCAGAAGATGTGGCCTAAATTAGGTCGACAGCAGAGCTGGAGAGTTACTATGCACGCACCTTTTGGCAACTTTGCTTGACACCGAGTTACTGCAGAGGGACACATGCATGGTTACGAGTTCTTGCTCTACCATGGGGTCGCCTGGAGGTTTTTCCATTTGCTTGCCTCTGGCTGTGCCTTCCCCGTCCTCCTTAATTCCAGCTGATACATCACAAATGTGCCCTTTTTGCTGATGGTCAACACCAAAAACATCCCATTTTAGGGTGGCTGTGGAAAGGAAACTTCTGACTTAGACCATCAGAGAGGCTTCGTGCAGCAATGACGTGACTACTTTTGCAATGGCACAGTGAATGACCTGCTGCATACAGCATTATGTTGGGATGATGCAGATGGCAACTCCTGGCTATGAGGTGGAGGTGCAGGGCTTAGCAGGGAAGCAAAGACGTGTGACAGCTACTGTGACAAAGAACATTTTGAACTCTTTTTACAATATAAGTCATTGCTCTGCCCCCTCTGCAGTCTGTGGTTGCTGGATCACAATCCTTTGCGTTTGGTGCCGAGAATTCAATTGAATGCCATTTATGTCTTATGTTTGAGTAGACTGCATGCTTTCTTTGTGTGCTGGGCTATGGAGTAGATACATTTCATCCCCCATTTGGAATATACTTAAGCATTGCAAATAAGCAGTGAGCATTAGATGCTCCAACGAGTGGATAAAGTGTTGTTGTTAAATACTTCTTTCCAGGACATTTGATTAAAGGACTGTACCAAATCTCTGCCACATAAGGATGTAATGTATAATATAAAGTGATTACCGATGTTATTATTCCTATACAAGCCATTAGCTCATTCAGAGCAGCTGTTAAGGCATGAAGGCATTTTGGTGGTAATTGGGTCTTCGGTCCCACAAAAGCTGCTAATACTTTAGTAAAGATAAGTATTGACTAAGGGTTGCAAACAGGCAAAGATCAGCCTGGTAGAAATGACCCTAGAAGCTCAAGAGTGAGTGATTGGCTTTCACTATTAGGGATTTTTTGTTTAACCCTGAGACTAGTGGTGCTCTATGTAAATAACAAAGGGGACAAAAGCACTAAAAATGGAGATGAAGCAAAACCAAAACCCACTCTTTAGTAATTGAGCCTCCGAGCAAAATAGTAGGAGTCTGTATCATTTCTGCTATCGTCTTTGTAGGGACCAGAATGTTTTTCTTTGTGTCCCAGTGGCAGCTGGCATTGCAAATATCTTAGTGTGTGAGTCAGGATAGCTGTGAAGCAGGTAGATAGTCCCATTCAAGAAAAACTCCTGGAGTGGGTAGAGGCTTATTCAGATTTTGTTTGCCTATGACAGCTTATTTTTTTTGTTAATTGTGAGTTGCACTGTGGTGGTTAATTCCCATGGTTCTTCTAACCCTCAGTATGTAAACTCTGTGATTTCTGGTGTTTTCCGTTCATAACTAAAGGACCTTCTGTACCTTTTTGGAAGCTAATTTTGTCCTACGGAGATAAGAGCTTGTCTGTTTTGTGCTGGTCATTTACCTTAAAAATGACACGTAGGCTCTCAGGAACCTGAATCCTGTTGTCTACTGCAGTTATGAGCATCTTGAGGGAAGAACTGATTCCTTTCAGTCCCCCAAGGAAATATGCAGTGATGTTTTCTTGTAGTGCAATTATTTTATCCTCTCCCTAAAATGAGTTCATTTTGGTTTCTGTATTACTTTCAGTAATTTTTGCACGGCCTGATAACAGTGCTTCTGTCTACCCCTGCCCTAAGCATAGGAGAGGAAAGGGGTAGGGAGCTTTGATTGCATTTTAATAAATATAGTAGGCTTGTGAGTGCGTGTGTGTGTGAGAGAGAGAGAGAGAGAGAGAGAGAGGGAAGGGTTACCCTGCGTATATGAAACTGCCAAAGCTAGGATTTGTGACATTGCTGACAGATGGAAAGATGCAAACCTGCACTTTGGAGTTTCTCTGGAGGAATCTCATTCTAACGGTGAAATGGCAGTGGGAAGTCTCTGAACTGAAGATGGAAAATCGGGTATTGTCAGTCCATTTCCTACCTCTGCTGTGTGCAGGGTGACAGTGTGCTAGTCCTATATCCCCTGGTGCCTCGATAGCTTCCTGTAAAATGGGAGCTATTGGATTTCCCACATGTCAAATTCTGATGCTAAATTTTAGCAATGTATGCAAAAATCGGGGATCCTCCAGGGGAGAGCAAAGCATTCAGCCCTGTACGTCCCGCTGTGCCCTCCATGAGTGCCAGTGGTGGCATCCTGTGGGGCAGTCTAGAGCTGGAGCAGGGAAGAGGATTGCCGCAGAACTGTCTCCTTTCTCCCAGCTCACCATCTCGTCATGACAACTGCAAAGGTATGGGCTGGATTATAACAATTCTCCTCCCTACTGTGCTTTTGAAAACAATTTTTTTTTTCTTTGAAATCTCATGTTTTATCCCGTTGGACCAAAGTTTGAGTCACTCCTGCACCATGAATGCCCTGAGGATGGCAAGTAACTCACTGCCTTGTGGCTGTGTGCAGCAGTGGCACAGCACTCTGGTCTCAGCGGTCTTTTGGAGCTGGCTGTAACACAGCTATCCTCGGACACTACTGAACCTGAGCAGGGACCCCACAACCATTAGTTGTGTCTTTAACCTTCCTGCAGTGCCGGCGAGCCAAAGGCAGCTGCCTGTTTCTGTCTCCACGTTCCAAACGCAGAGCATACTGCCACCATTGCAGCTGCTGCTGGGGAGTAACCGGGGCCCTTTGCCTGGCTGATGCCTCTGGTGCAAATGGAAGTGAGACAGTGCCACGCTGCTGGGTTTGCTTTTTTAAAGAATGAAGTTCAATGGCAGATCAGGCAGCTGACAAGTCTGAGAGCAGCCAACAAGAAGTAACCTTCTGGCTTTGCTGACGAGACAAAACGGGGTTTGATTAATTTTTTTTTTTAATAGTAGACAGGATAGTCTTTTAATCAGTGTATTTCTGTCAAGCAAGGTGATAATTAAGGGAATGACTCTCCATGTACAGTCTAGAATAAGATTTGGTAAAGTCCAGCAAGACTAATGATTACGTTAAGGTATACTTATTCTGTATGTAGGTCTTTGACACCATCATTTTCAGGTAGATGGACCCAAAAATCATAGTTTCCCAATATGGATTTCATTTCAGTGTTGTTTGGAGATGATATAGTTACCAGAAAGTAATTTAAAAGTAATGGTTGCCACTAAGTTTCAGTTGTAGAAGAGACAAGGTCCAAGGTAAATCTATGCTGTAGCAGCACTCGTGGTTGAGCATTGTGCCCTCGCTGCTTGACCGGCGAGTACGTGCCAGCTGCCTGGCTGTTCCCTCTGGGTCCGGACTAGCGAGACCTGCCCTCCAGGCTGAGGTTTTGACTTAGATCTCCCCCCTCTGCTCTGCTGTCAGCCTCTGTGAAACTTGCAGAAACTTCACATCCTCAAAACTCTGCCCTCTGCTCAGCTGGGTGTAGCTGGGCAACAGACTCCTTCCTTACTGGCGGTAATGACAAACAGATAGACAGGCAGTTGACATGGTATGTAAGTCTTGCTTTTACTAGTAAACCAGGCCAAAATGTAATCAGGCCTGATCCTCTCCTTCTCTCACGTCTAACCCCACTGGGTGGAGAATCAGACCAATGGTCATTGTCTGGATCATAAACGGCTGCGGCCAAACCACATCTGAACACTGGCTTTTCTTGCCAGTGACAACAAAGCTGTGCGTGTCTTATATTCTGGTTGTGTATGTGATGAAAAGCCATTTATTATCCATAATTTTCTTAGACTCTGAGATTTCAAACAGGATTGGGTATGAGAAAGGCCATGCGCTTCCTTTCCAAAAATACTCAAAGCCGGACTTCAAATATATATATATATGATTAGAAATATATAAAAATAATAAGAAAAAAGAGCCAAATTGTGTATTTCTTCTTGCAGCTGGAGCTGAATTAGCTGCTAAGACTTCCTCTCCCCAGCTGAGAATTGGTACAGTTTGTTTTTCTTACGTATTTTCCATGGTGTTGATAATGATGTATTTGTATATTGTGACTGATGAGAGATAATCAGACAGGGAAAGCGCACAGAATTACCTGTCATTTTTTTCCAGTCAAGACAGAATGTATGAATTTATTACAAGAAAAAAGTGTGCAAATGAACTTTCTGTAATTAGGCCATTCTGACCTGTGTAGAACCACACTTTGTTTGAAATTTATAAAAATTATAACTAGTACAAAACATTGTGGTTGATGTCTCTATATGAAGTAACAAGTCAAACGAGCTTTCTTTCTATTCAAAATAAATGAGTATCAGTAAAGGCACATCAGCAGAGCTGAAAAAAATCCACACATCTGTCCAATATAACTTTATTTGTCCAACACACGTGTCACAAAAGGCACAAAGTGGGTTTTTTCCTTTACCCATCTCCCTTAGGCATGTTCCTGAATCCCTTGGACTCGTAGGAGAGTGCAAAGGTTCACACAGACAGTTCAGAGTTGCATATGCTAATGTTGCAGCCATAAGGCAAGGAAGTTGTAGGATAATTTTATTATAGCCACCCCCAAGATATCTGCTTACCTTTGGCTACCAGTGGTTTATTAGGGAGCGCTAGTTGACCCAAATGCATGTTGTGGATCATGTAGAAAGGCAAGGAGGTAAAAATGAGAATGTAGAAACACAATGTAAATATAGAGAGCAGAATAAATTGGAACTAATTTCAGCCGGTATCCAGATTTCCGGGGGCAAACTTCACTTGAGTTTTCATGTTACTTATCATGTTACTGCACTTCAATATTGGTATGGGAAAAACAATAATGAGGACCACACCAGATCCCAGGTGTGGGGCTTGCTTTGTTCCCCCCACACCAAGCAGGCCCCATGGCAAAGTCCCAGGGCTGGAAATCCAGCTGCACACATGAGCAGGCGTAACGCTCTCCTGTTGCAGATCTCTGGTGTGCGGCTACGCATGCCAGGACCTGCCTGCGCAGCCCCTGTCCCAGCTTGGCGTGGCTTGCAGGAGGCACTTCACGGGACAGAGGTGGGTCATTGTTATTTGCTGAGGGTTGCGTTTGGACACAACGCTAATGGTGAGCCACCCCAGCTGATCCACCTGCAACAAGCTCAGTCCTTGGAGCAGGACTGAACCAGCCAGCAAAGGCTGCCGACAGTCCCCAGCTGGGACCAGAGCCCGTTTGGGGCTTTGCTCGGCCCTATCTTGCTTTTAGCAGGTGCTCAGCAGAGGTGGCTCAAGCTTACACCTCTCTCTTCTGTGCCTTAACATAAAAGAAAGAGTTTGGCCCTGAAGAAAGTACTTTTTTAAAGAACACGTGGGAAAGTAGTGATTTACAGGTCTTAACCCTCCACCAGAGTATAGCTATGGTCTGCACTGAGTTATCAAAACCGGAGAGAGGAGCATGAAGCTTTAGGTGGCCTTGCAGAGCCCCAGGTCTCAGCTGCAGAGTGAGAGCCTGTCTTCCCCCCAGTTAAGCCTGCAGTCCTTTCTGTTTTCACTTTCTTTCCTAACCATCATTTATTTCCTTCTGTGGTAGTTTACAGACGAGAAGCATTGGTCTGCCCCCTTCTCTCTCCACCTCCTTTCCAGCCACGTGACTAAGCACTCCCTGCATCAAGTGAAACTTTTCAGTCCCCAGGAAACCTTGATTTCCTTTCCACCCGCTCCACGGTAAGAAGCAGCATCTGTCAAACCTGCAGCTGTGCTGGCCATGGGAAGGAGTGCATGGCAGTTCGTCTTGCTAACCTTCGCCTGTGGTGAGTAGCATCCTCCATCGTTTCTATCAGAAAAATGTGATAGACTATGCTGGTTTTGTTTCCTTGCAGTCAGGACAGCACCTAACAGACTGAAAACTTGAATAGTTTTGTTGCTAGCTCTAAGGGTGCTTTTAATAAAGTCCCACTGCTAAAAAATAACTATAACTACATTTAATTGCAGCAGGTACGGACTTAGTTTGGTGTTTTCCTGTGTATTTTCCCTTGCACTCTGTGGTGATGTAAGCTCTGACTGTGTGATGGAGTCAGCTCAAAATAGTATTAGAAGCAAGCTTTTTTGGGCTTGCTTTTCTTAATTAAAAATAATTCCCAGACCGGCAGAACTGACTGAGGGTCTTGAGTGAGACAAGCAGAAGAAAAACTAAGGAAGCATTGCTCGAGTCATTAATTGGTTTGCATTGCGAGATGCAGAGCATGATCAGGAAAGCAAGAGTGAGGCGGGGGGCTCGGGGAAGGCGGAGGCAGGCTGGGGCTTAGCTCAACGACAAACCAGATCAAAGTCACTGTTCAATCCTTAATGCTGCTCTGTGAAAATCTGGGGAGCTAGCCTGGTCAAATACGTGTCCCAGCATGTTAAGTCATCCCTCAACGCCCGCAGCAGTACAAAATCTGCCAGGTGAAGAAGGACATGTCGAGTGCAATTTAATCTGTGCAATGGCTAAAGGTTTGAGCTCACTGGCGGGGCGCTGGATTTCTGCAGTGTGTTTTGCCATCGGCATACAGGGATCACACAGGTAACAACCCCCATCTCCCTCCCAGCTCTACTGCGGCAACGCAGTGAGCAGGGAAACAGCCCAGGGACTTGGCCAAAAGCAGCTCCTGCCATATCTGCTCTGCTTTCCCACACCCGCTTTATATCCAGAGTCTGCTGAAGTAGCCCCAAAATGTGTACACAAAAGGAAAGCAAGATCAGACTGAGAGAAATAACACTAATAACTTGGTGGTCAGCAAGGATCTTTTTGACCAGGAAGAACTTGTTTCCTCAGCTCCTTATCCATTTTTCATTGTTCCTTTAGTGATTTGTTGTGATGTTTTATTAGTTGCACAAAGTCAAGTCTTTCTGTGCATAGTTGCACAGAATAATGAATTAAACAAAGTTTAAGAGATAAAGTCTGATGGGTTGGAGGTTTGAGAAACTGCTCCTGTGTTGGAGGGAGACTATGACAAATCTTGGTGCTTTTCCAGTTCCTCAAGGACTCAAACCAAAGCAGCCGAAGCCGGTGAGAGTGTTTTCAGTGACTGTAGGAGCTGGGTCAGGTTTTTGTGTCCACACAAAATCAGTCAGCTAAACACGAGCATTTCTTCTGGGCAGCATAAAGCAGAACAAACCTGCTGGGCTGCCAAGCAGCACGAGTGTGTGGTTAGACGAGAAGGGGAAAAAATCCCCAGCAAGAGTTTTTTTCACCCACCCCATTACAGGACGGCAGGCTGAGAAATGTCACAGCCAGATCATTGCACTGAGCGCTCCGCTTCCCAGTGTAACACCTGGGAGCACAGCAGTGACGTTCCTTTGCTGGCATTGACTGAACCTCCCTGGTCACCAAAGCATGAAAACAGGGTCTCCAGGCCCAGACTGGGGACAGCGAATTTCTGAGAGCTGCCCTGATCCTTTTCTGAGAATTTTGTTCTGATGTGTTGCATGCATGGAGGCTTGCTGGGCAGAAATGCAACCCTTGGCACTTGTAACGCACAACTTTGAAGCCGAGGTGAGACGAGGGATTGCAGCTGCTTGCTCCAGGAAGATGCACCACAGGGAGCACGAGTCCCTCGAGCAAAATGTTGGTCGTGTGAAGTTTTGAGATGGCCTCATAGAAAAGAGAAACAGAGACTAACAGGGGGAGGCAGAGCTGCAATTTGTTGCTGCTCTGTGGTCCCTTTTGCCGGCAGAGCTGTGAAAAGGGCTGCGGTGGGGGGAGTCGTGCAAGCAGCTCCTTTGCCAGGTTGTGCCAGGCTCTAAGAGAGGCAACGCTGCAGCGCCGAAGGAGATGTGGTGAAGCCTCCCAGGCCTTAGTTGGAGGGTAGGTCAGGCATCCCATGGGCCCTCCTGCCCCTTCGCACAGCAGAGCTACCGAACTACCTCCAACAACCACCCAAGAAGAGCCAAGACCATTCGGAGAGCAATCCTTACCCATCCCTGGGAGCTCATGTGGCCAAATGCCTTTTGAGAAGATGACCCAAACCAACAGGTTTAGCAGCATGGCCATGCCCTGACAGAGGGTCCAAAATGCTGGGGAGAGCCGTGGGAAGCTGGAGGAATGGTCTGGCAGGTCACCGGGTGAGCATGAGCCATGCATCACCCCAAAGACATTTCTGACTTTACCCCTCAGTGACCCTGTCAGCCTGAACGTTTCTCTAGTGAGAAATAGTTAGGTTGAAATGACCTTTTGGGGAAAATGAAGTTTCATTTAAAAGCTATGGGTGGCATCCAAATGTTAGTGAAATAATGTTTCTCTCCATGTCTGTAAAATAAGTGTTACCTGGTCAGTAATCGAAACCAATCTGTTAACCAAAAACTAAGAAGTACTGACTATTTAAGACTTGTGTAAATTTAAATACGGGTTGTTTTGCAATCTTATAGGGGAAAAAAGAGTCAAAATTGCAACTTCTTCTTTTTTGATTTTATCATGCTGATACACTTAGCTGCAACTACCTATAGCTGGTATATGGCAACTGCTCTGGTTTTCCACTGGCACGCAGAGGAGATAAGTTACCTGCTTTTCAGCTCTGCCAGCAGGTGTGGTAAAGTCTAGGGGAAAGTGCGAAAATGAACTGAAGTATCATATTAATTATGGCATTTTTAGTTTCCTTCTGGTAAAATTAACAATCAGAGGGATCTGTCCTGTCATTTTTGTGGCTTTTTAACTGCATCAAGTTGCCCTTCTTTGATGATAACAGCTATGCTGGCAGTCAAGTATATTCTGTACAGCACAGAGGTGAAACCCAGGCAATTTTAGGAATACGGAGTATACATCTACACTTCTGCTCTTCTCTAGCATAGCCATTTTAAGGGAAAATTGAAGTGTGGGTTCAGATCTATACATCTGTTCTCATTTCTTTCATTTTGATCTTGAATTTGATTCAAAACCCAGTAGGTTTTATTATTCTGATGTAGTCTATGTGTATCCTAAAATGGTAAGATTTTGTGAATTCGGTTGCTGTTGCAGTTCTCTGTTCATGATGAGTGAAAATAAATAAATGAAAGGAAGATGAGCTTGTAAGATTTCAGCCGTTTCCACTCTGAATGTGCCTCTGGCCTTAATCGATCCTAAAATCCAAATCGCAGCAACCTGCCTGCCACAAAGCTTCGATACCGATCCATGAGAAATATATTTGGAAAAAACAGCATACAATAAACTTCTCAGACAACATGTTGCGGTGTCCTCTGTGGAGCTGTACTGCTAGGAATATGAGCTGTCTTGGAGTTTTGGGTCCCTTCTGCCTCCAAACTGGAAAATTCATCTCTGTCCTCCAGCTAATTTAGGCAGTAAAGCATTTAACTACACCTGAAGCTTCGTGCCCATCAAGGAATTCATATATCTCAGTGATTTATGATTTCTTTTAGCTTGACCTTGTCTTTACAGAGTCTTGTTGCATATCCACAATCAAAGACTCACGTAGAAGAGTTGTGACCTTCATCTATGCTACAACGTACTTTTCCCACTTTTTCTTCACTTCGTTATTTACATTTAGGAGCCAGATATTTTCTTTCCAGTTCTGCAAGGGAAATGTTTCTGTAAATGTTATAAGATGGAAACATAATTTTGGTGCTGTGACTATTTTTAGATGTGGTCCAAAAAGCCCCTGGATGCTGTACCCTGAAATTTGTTTCTCATTGCTGAAAGCCCATCGCTAAGAGGGCTGGTCTTTCATAGTTTGGAGCATCCCATTGGGTACCTCCCAGGAGGAAGAACTTCAGGGTTCAAGATGGCACGGCTACAACAAAACCATAAATAAATATCTGGAATTTCCCTGTCTCCCAGACTGGTTTCCCAGACTGTTGTGATTCACTGTAAGACCATTACGCTGCCTCACTTCCTTCACACACAAAATATGTTCCCTTTCCCCATGCTTTGTTGGTAAGTAACCAACCACCCCTTCGCCTGTTACACCCACTTCATCTTCCTTAGACCTTGATAATTTGCTTCTAGCAAATCTTGCTGTACTACTGCCTGCAAGGGAATTCTTGTGCTGCCGGGGGATTGTGCAAGGTGTGCTCATGCCTCCAGCATCCTCTGGCTTCTTCAGCAGTAAAAGCAGTGTGTGGGGAGCTGGGAGCCAATGTTCTTCCACTGCAATGGGTGTATTCAGAGGTGTGAAGACCGGGGGAGCGGTGAAAAGTTATAGATAGTCCTACAGCATGTCTGCTTTCACTCTCGTATCATGACTGGAGCCAAATGAAGAATAAAATTGTATCACCCATTTGATAACAAAACCAGTGCAGTTATGTTGCGGGTATCAACAGAAATGTTAGCCATAAAGGTTTCTGGACTACTGACTTATTTGTTTCTTTGCAGCATTTTCCTCCTGCTTTGCTGAAGTGGCCCTGCGGGTCAAACTGTCTCCAGAAACCACATCCTTCCACCATACGGCTACTTCTGCTCAGCCACTCTCCCTTTATCATTCTTCACCCCATCAAGGCACCACAGTTCATTTTAACAGCAGAGGCTCTCTTAAAACAACACCCATAAGCCATAGAACAACTGTGCAGACAACAGAGCAGCGTCAGGTAACAACGGCACCAGGCCATCACACGACAGCCCAGGCGGGAGCAACCACCATACAAGCGACCGGCCAGAAATCTCCCACGGTGGTATCCACAACATCAGCAGACAACACAACTGCAGCTGATCAGGCTACAACCCAGGCAATGGAAACGGTTACGCCTGCAGTGAAGAACACAACTGTACACCCTATGTCCTCAACCAAGCAAGCCAGAACACATGTGAGCACAGAAATGACAGTGGCAGCCACAAACACAACCATAAAGCATACAACACCAAATACACAAATGACAGCTGCAGCCACCACCATGCAAACTGTAAAGCCCACCACAGGGTCAGGAAATCAAACAACGGTGCCTAAAAGTCCAACAGCTACAGCCACGACCAACACAACAACCATTCGTCCAGGGACTCAAACAACCATCCCATCTACTACGGTGACACTGAGACCCACTCTTGCACCGCGGCCTTCTCCCATCCCCACTGGCACATACACCGTTTCCAGTGGGAACGGGACCTGCATCAAGGCAGTCATGGGTTTGCAACTGATGGCTCAAAATACACAGACGGTGAGGTGGAAACACTACAAGGCTGAGCTTTGTAACAACTATTTCTTCATTAGCTGGAATTTTTTCCTCTTCTTTCAAAGCAATTTTCAGAAGTTAGCTTGTATGATAAAAATAAGTGGTTTGCTACCAGTCCAAGGCCTTTTCTATGCCACAGCAGATGAGATGCTGTACTTCGGCTTGTATGATGATGTCAGTGGGACGTATGGGTGCTTTCTTATTTCAGTGATCTATCTGTACTAGCAATACTTGGGAGGGCAGGTCAGGCTTCAGTGTTATTTGTGTTTCCCAGAATGGGAGACTAGTTAACATCTGAATTGACTTCAGTGAAGGGCTTGACATTGCGAGTTGCAATGAAAGCAAGAAATTGTCAACTCTCAGACTTGGATTCAGAGGTGAGTTGTCTTGATGCTGACACGTGGAGATTTTAGGATCACAGGAGCTGCCAGGCTGGGTCAGAGCAGGGGAGCTGGTACCCTCTCCTAGCAGTGATCCACTGTGAATGATTCAGCACAAGATATCATAAAACCCAAAATGGTGTTTATGTCCCTCAGAATTAAGGTTTTGTAACCTCCATTAATACAGTATGTGGGGTTACATCCTCGGGCTCTGGAGTTCATATGCCTCGAGCCATCCCCATTAGAAATCCAAATACTCTTGCCTGCAGTCTGAATATTTCTAACATGGGATAAGTATCTAATGTTGGTGAAAGATGAAATGTTGGTATGATTCTAATTTTCATAGAATCATAGAACCATTTAGGTTGGAAAAGACCCTTAAGATCATTGAGTCCAACCATAAACCTAACACTGCCAAGTTCACCACTAAACCATGTCCCTAAGCACCACATCTACACATCCTTTATCCCTTGGCCTGTCCGAAGCCAGGCAGGGAGCATTGTTCCCAACCTCACCAGACCACAGTGAGATGTTTATTACAAAAGGTGTGTATGAGATGAGACCGAAGGAGCCAAACTGTGTATTTGGGGCCCCAGAGCTCTCCTTTCAGGCTACAATGTGGGTTGGCTGATGCTAGGGATGAATTGTGCAGGACATGAGGAGGAGGCCAGGGTGATACAAGGAGCAACACGTCGAAGCCAGTCTAACCACTGCCTGCCTCTGTCTTGATCTTTCCTCTGCCTTCAGGCACAAGTTCCCACTGCTTCCTTTTTTTAAATTACCACTGGTGTTCATCTGACCCTGCTCTGAATCATACCAGTTCATTGAATGAGCAGAAAACGATTATTTTCTGCCAGCTTAACACACTGGAACAGCTTGGTGCTGTGTTAGACAAATGCCAGTGCTGGTTTTCTAGCGGGGATTGACGCCGGCAGCCAGCGATTAGACTGCCGCTGCTGCCCTGTTCATTCAGCCACACAGAGCCTGTCTGAAAAAAAAAGGCAGCTACAAATCTCCGTGTGTTTCTTATTAAGCTTTTCCCTCCTCTTCATCAGCAGGCCTGCAATGTCTCTTCTCTCCACAGAAGCAGACGGAGTACACGACTGTCGACCCCAATGCGACACAGACATCTGGCAGCTGTGGGATGGTGCAGTCTGAGCTGAACATAACTTTCAGTGGAGGGTTTATAAACTTCACCTTTGTAAAGGTAATTGTTGCATTTAGAGGTGTCTTGGTTTCAGCTGGACTAGGTTTTCGACTAGGATGAAAATTAACTCTATCCCAGCTGAAACCAGGACAAGAGGAAAGGAGTGTTTAGGATTGGGGAGCTGGAACTCAGGCTGCCTTTGATGCAGCTTGTGCTGTGGGAAAAGGCATTTAATTCATCCCTATGCTAGTTTTTCACTGGTATATAAGGCATTATCACTCCTGTCCTTCCCAAGAGGAACCATGGATTAATTCAAGTTGCAAAAGACCTTTGGAGGCCACCTGGTCCAACCCCCTGCTCAGTGCAGGGCTAGGTTCAATGTCAGATCAGGTCTTGGCTATTTGAACTTTGAGTTTGGAAAGGTTTGTATGTGCGATGAAGGGTAAGTACATGCCTTGCCATCCTTTGATACAAAGTCCTAGAGAACAGTGTTAAAGCTACCAGTCTAGCAACACAAAGTCTAGAAATAGCCCCAAACAGAATCTGCATCTCATTTTACACAGGTAAAAATCTAGTGGAAGGGAAGGCCAGGTCTGCTGTTTGCATTGGAGCGGGACAGAGGGAATGGGTTTGGGACTGGAGTCCCTGTGCAGGAGCAAGGTGTGTGTGCCTGGAGCTCTGACTCACACTATCGAGTTGCTCTTACGAAATGGTGTCTCAGGGACCACCTGAATGCAGGTGAGATTAGTCATTTGCTTCTCATAAATGCCAAGTATCACAACTGCCCAGCCAAAAGCCCGCTGTGGTTGTTAAATCCAAAGGGCAGCCTATGCAGTTGTAAGTGCCCAGGAGTCACAGCCCATCCACAGCTGAAGGGGCCTAATCTCATCTAATTTCTGAGTGGAAAAATCCAAACAAGTGAACTATAACAACAAAATTGTTGATAAGTGCTCTTAAAATGCACCACACCAGGGAGACTTATAAGTACACACAGAAACTTGGGCAAGAGAGAGGCCCTGCTTACCTAGTGGAAAATGAGCTTTCTTTTTGACATTGCATCTACTGACACCATGTTCCCCCCTGGGACCACATCATATGTGGATGAGGCTTTAACATAAGCTACCAAGAGTGCTGCTGCTATTATAACCACAGGAGAAAATTGCTGAGTGCAGCCATCCTCTTGCTTCCTCAGACATTTACACGGCTTACATATTTTGGGAGGCAGCACACAGTACTATTTATCCAGAAGCTAATAAGGGCTGGGTGATGATGCCAGCAGGGCTAAAGACAGAAGTTAATACTGTGTATAAAGTCATTAATGGGCAGGGAGGAACATGGCATGGGTTGGATCCCATCAAACTCTGACTGAGTGTAACATGCATTAAGGCCATGTCCTGGAGCTCCATAACAGTTCAGAGCTGCATCTGGCCATCACTGCTGATCTGTGTCCTTCAATTAATCAAGCCAAAATGTCAATCTTACAGCCTGGTTCCAAGCTCAAATTAGTGACAATTAAGAAAAGTACAAATGGTTAATCAGTCATTTCCATAGAAAGTCCAAGAGGCAACAGCAAATTATACCACGCCTGGGTCATTAATGCCTGAGCAGAGAAAAGATATCAATTAATAATCACCTTGATTTTAGTTTATGGCAAAAAGTTGTCTAAAAGCTACAGAGGTAAAGTGAGGTAAAAAATCAAGGAGCTGTTTTAAAACAAACGATCAGTTCAGACCATGAGTGTTTGCTTTAAACGTATGCTTCCTGCAACAAGGGGAGCATTTTCTGTGTTACAAGGATCCTTAGAAAAAGTCTGGTGATTCAAGTACCCATGAAAGCCTCAGCTCGCAGCAGTGCTAAGGAGAGTGATGTGAACCTTTAGGAGGTACTTGACCTGTCTTGCCCTGAAAAAGGTGGTTATTGGCACAGCATTAGACAATCCTCCCTTCATTTAAAGATAAGCCTCAAGAGCATAGCAGGGCTCGGCTTAGACTTCTTTGAAATTCAAGTCAATAAGAAATCATTTTGCTGCTGGTTTTTGTGTGTTCGGCCCCCACAGCCTCTCTAACTGCTTTGAACCAGGAGTGCTCCAGCGATGGCACTTCTGATTTTCACTGGTGAAAGAGGAGCTGGATCAGGCCCCAGGGCTGCGGTGCTGGTGTGGGGTAGTGGAAGGTGAGCGGCGGGCTCAGTACTCACCACTGCCAGCTGCTTTTTGCAAAGAACTTGAAAAAAGGAAGTTTTGTAACCAACCCACAAGACGGTGTGGGGTAGTGGAAGGGCAGCGGCGGGCTCAGTACTCACCACTGCCAGCTGCTTTTTGCAAAGAACTTGAAAAAAGGAAGTTTTGTAACCAACCCACAAGACGTGAAGTAGGAGCAGGTGTTTTCCCCAAGCAAAGTTATTAACTGTAGCCAAACAGAATATAGCACTGCAGCCAAAAAAAGGGGTAATATTTGACCTATTTATGTCTTTAAGTGGGAATAATGCTGAGAACCTCTTCTCTGGTGTACTTCTTTCTTAAACTGTCCCAATCCATCCTACCAGCTTTTAAACTGCATAATGTTAAAACTGGGTGCACAGGAGACATTCATGTCTGCTGCCATTTATCCACCAGCTGCACTCACCAGTCCCTGTGTGCTCACAGCTGGAATTAAAATGAATAGTAGGGCTGCTACATAAAGACTCACATTATACTCCAACACTGCTACCAGGGAAAAGCTCCTAGGGCTGGCTCTCACTTTGTGACAGTCCTGGGGAGGACAGCATTCAGCTTGCACCAGGCTTTTAGGGCACATGCAGGCAGGACAGTCAGCTGGAAATTTTGCTCTATGCAGTTGTACCAGGTGCTTTCCATGTCAGCAGTCTGTAGGCATATGAAAAAAAACCAGCCAGCACCAACGGTGTCTGCAGGGTGGAAAGAACAGTTATTTCCCCCGTACACAGACACATCCAGGTTGCTGTTTCCTCATTTGTAGTGACTACTGTGGGCAGACAAAATAGGAAATGAGTGGTACTAGCATGAGATGAGCTCCCGGCTCTCAGCTTGTTGCTGGCTTCTAGTTCAAAACAATGATGAACACAGAAGCACGGCTGCTTTTTGCAGTTTGCTCACGCGAAGGGCACTTATGCATAAAGTGCACTGCAGTGCCAAGAGTCCCAAGTACTTCTAAAGGTGTCAGCTTAGGTCCTGCAAACAGTCAGAGTTGCAGGTCAGCATGGATTAGTTCAGTGCAGGAATACTCATGAGAGCACTGTAGGGACTCTCAATGAAAGCAGAACAGGTGAATAAAAATAAATTGGCCTTATCACATGCCTGTTAATTTGTGCAATGTATAATATTTGCTTAACTCCCTCCTACTTTTGGTTACCACAAGTATCACACAAATGTCTAGCTTGAGTAGTGTGTGCAAAATCACACCTGCATGGTCCAGTTTCACAGACTTGAGCAGAACTGGTGATGTAGCTGAGGTTGCTGCATCACACCAGCTTCTTACCTATTAGATGGAGTGATTTGGAAAAGAAAAAGCAATAAATCCAAGCAAGTTGGTTCTTGGGTCTTGAAGGTGATGCTTTAAATTGTGTTTCTTTGTGAAATTCTTTGTGACCATTTTGCTGTGGTGAACTGTATTTTTTTTTTTTCCCCAAATATGAGGATGTATTATGAATAAAGATACATCTTCTTTTGCAGCAAGCTCCAACGTACTATGTCAGTAAAATTGAGAGCAGATTACAGTTATCTTCTGAAGGTCAGTGATTTTACATTGTCTTAATTTCATACCAAACTGTGCTGGGTGTGTGATAGGCTTTCATATCTTTAAAACAGTGAATTTTGCAAATTATGTATTTTATCAGGCTTTCAACACATCATTCACCTAAATCTTACGGCATGAAAATGGAAGAGAAGGGACTGGGCTGCAGTTTCATCAGAATTGTTCAATTTTCCTTTTGTCCTCAAAAGCTTTCCCTGCCTTTCATTACTCTTTCAGAACAGAGATTACTTCAAACCCGAATTTAATATACAGAACAGTCCTCAAAGTTTTTATGTGCAACCACACAAAAATGCTGTGACTCCAGTTCAGTTGCATGCATCTTTCCAGTGTAATACACAAACTAAATGAATACAGTATCTGGATCATGGAAATGCAGAGCTGGATCCAGATTTCAAATACACCAATATGGAGAGGAGGCATGTCTGACATTTTGGTTTGGCAAAAATAAGAACTGGACACAGGCTGAGGTTCTTAAAACTACCCTGAAATCCTAGACCTTGTCTGTGCCCTTCTCTAGCGATCGGATTTTCTTTTTCTTATATAGTCCTGCTTCTCGCCATTTGAACAGTCAGGAGCTGCCCCAGATGCTACCTTCCGAGACATGCTAAGAGAACATCATTTAGGTCAGAGAGAAAAATTCTGAGCCACCACTTCAGATTTTCTCTGACATTAATTGTGCACAAATTCTTCCTAATTTATCAAATCTGTGACAGGTTAATGACTATATTATGTCACTTCTCTGCTTGTTACTCATAAGTATTTGGATTGACCTTTGTCCCTGAAAGAAGAAAAACAAATCAGGAGCTTGACCAGGTGTGTCCTAATTTTTCTTCTCACTGATGAGCACTTTTATTAACTCAAGTGGAGCCTGTTCTGATCTACAGCAATTGAAGTAAAAGAAAAGCTGATCCAGAGGACATGTCTGCTAGGGATGTTCTCAGTCTAGATGATCAGAGTTTTCCTGTGCATTGCTGAGTGCAAATTGCAGCAAACACAAACTAATCGGCTTAATCATAAGTTTTAAAATCCTCAAATATACTTTGAGTCCTCCACAGTGGTGCTGGCAAGAGACTTTGTTCTCCCTGGCTGTTTGTTACAGCCTCTCTGCCAGATGTTGTCATTTCACAGTCCACCAGCAGTATTTTTGCAGTGAGCAAGCCTGTATCTTTTTCTAAGATAAAAATTACCGAATTAACTGTATCAGTACACACTGGTGTACTGATTTAGACTGAAGAGGACCAGGGGTATGCTGGCAGATGTGGTCAAGACACAGTGACGCAGTGTTGGTGATGTGGATGATTTTGTCTTAAACTGGTATATCTGCTTTCAAAGGAGGGTATGCATCCAGGACATGCCCAGGCTACAAGATCTTTTCATGCCTTGAACTTGAGCCATATTTTCCGTAAAGTACTGTGACACTGAAATATGTTTAAAAACGTATTTAATACATAAAGCAATATAGACTAGATATGTCAAATTCCCATGCTAGAGATGGTATCTCTGTTTTGTCTGGAAATAGCCGTGCTGGAGACCTAAGATAGTTGTCTGCTCCTGCGAGAATCCTAACCCCCTCTTGCAGACTCAGATTGTTAAAATATGAAGAAGCATCTAAAATTTTAGCCACTTTTTCAGACCCAAGCTCAGCTGAGTTGCCCACTGATAATTAAAGCACTCGTTTAGTAACTGATACATTATGGGGAAAATGTAGAATCATAGAATCACAGAACAGTTTGGGTTGGAAGGGACCTTTAAAGGTCACCTAGTCCAACCCCCCTGCAACGAGCAGGGACATCTTCAACTAGATCAGGTTGCTCAGAGCCCCGTCCAACCTGACCATGAATGTTTCCAGGGATGGGGCATCTACGACCTCTCTGGGCAACCTGTTGTCCATGCTTTAGTCAAATCTGTGACTGCTGCTCTGCCAAAGCACCGGGGATCCTCCATTTTATCTCAGAAAGATGTTGGTTCCAACAGAGTTAGTGCGGATTCTCATTTGTCTCTCTATGGCCTCCAGGTATGCTTTACTATGCAGCCATACATGAGAAGCTGTTTACAACAAAGCTGGGGAATTCCTTTAAGTGTGCCAGCAAGCAAACCTTCAGCTTGGAGAAGAACTTCCAGCTACTCTTCGTTAATATGCAGCTGCAGGCATTTGATATTGTTGGTAACCAGTTTGGAAAAGGTAAGTAGAAAGGATACCTTTTCCACCCTTCCAAGATCTACATGTCAGCATTCTGGTAGCCTGAGGTATCTCCTTCTGCTAGATTATAACCATACACATGCGGTGATCCTATTACAGCTATAGCACAATCACAGCTTTGTAATAGCTCCCAAATACTGTAACCTGCCTGCTGTTGTATTCTCACCCTTTTCTGAGTCATTTTCAACACACTGCTAATACCTATGTAAGACGGAAAAGTACCTTTCCCTCCTATATTCAATACCTTCTGTTTCACCTTCTCATTAAAAATGTTCAACTCTACAGCCACCATTTTATTCTTCACCCGTTTTCTCCCAGAGCAAGCGGAAGTGTGTTCACCACCATTGCATTGCCCAAACCCTTAATATGTACAGTTCAGTTCAAGGTCACTGTTCTTGATCTAGTCAGATTTTAGCTATTTTGAAAGGCTCTTGACACTCATGATGTCCCACAGCTGCAGCAGCAAAACTGCCAACTAATAAGGCATATTTGTGAATGCAGGATGATAGTTTCAGAGCAGCTGTGCCTAGACATGATGAAATGCACTCCTGAGGAGAAGCACAATTGGCATGCTCCCTAGTTTCAGAATTAAATGTGACGCTTATCTCTGCAATTTGTCTTTTCTTGAGTACAGCCACAAAGAGGCAACCATGTAGCTTAGTAAAAGACAGAGACAGGCCAGTACTGACTCCCCTGGTCCCTGGATTGCCCACACTGGGAGAATGTATTGAGGCTCATCACAACTTCTTCCCTACGCCCACACCTGGAGTTCCTTCTGCATGGAAATGAGATGTTGTCATCCTTGTTTGTTGTCCAGCGATGCAGCCAGGACCTGGCCGGGGTGCGGGGTCCAGGACTGCTGGGTGCACCAGAAAACTCCCGTGTCCCACAGTATGGACACTCTCACGGTCTGCTGCCTTACTTCTTATGAGATGCGTGAAAGATCCTACAAAAAGCAGAGAGGTGGACTAGATGGTACCCTGTGGTCTCTTTCAAATTGTACATCTTCACATTTCTGTGGGGAATCACCCCCCTCCTCTCAGGGTGTTTCCATACAAGAACTCAGGTAGACAGATAGGCTTATCAGCTCTCCAGCCCTTCACATGCACTAATAAAACATCTCCTTCTTCCAACATTTGACTTTCTGCGTGCTTACAAAATATTGCCCCTCTATTCTTCTTTTTACTTTAGATCTGTCTTTTGACTCAGTTTGGCTTTGTTTGACTGATTCTTCTTTTGTTAGCTCAATATTTTGGCTGCCCTTCTTATTCTAAAAGGAATTATAATGGGAAACAACATCTGGGGCTTTTTTAAGACATGGACTTTTTTTTTTATATACTTTTCTTTAAGTTCCTAAAAGCCACATTGAGAATCCAATCTGTGCTCTCATTCTCATGAAGATTTTTTTCATGGGATAAAACCAAGCTGGAACAACTCATAGCATCCCACCTGGTCCCCAAATTCCCATTTTAATTTGTACAACGAATGAATTCAGATATGGCTTTCGGTATGGCGTCACCTCTAGCAGAGACAGAGCTTAGAAAGACTCTCTCTCCCCCCAGGGTCAGGCTAATCTCTGCTAATCAATACCATATACAAAATTAATTAGTTTTGCTGTTAATCAAAGGGTTGAGAAAGCAGCTACCACCTTTGAAATCATTCCCCAGTGGCCATGAAATAGTTATGAAACTGTTACGTACTTCTGCTGTGTATGCAGATTTTGAAAGACAAAATCCCCAGTGAAGGAATGACTCTATACACATCACCAGCCTCCTCCCCTCAGGTTTCTCGATACTGGTAGTTTCACTTCTGTTGCTCCTGATTTGCTTATCTTTAAAGGGGGAAGAGAAAGAAAACATTAATGATCACTGGTTTCAAGTTCCTTACAATTTTGTACAGACTGCAGCAGCGTTACAATAGGTTGGCCTGTTTGAGTCTGGAAAGCTGTAAAGGTGTCTCCTGAACTGCACTTCAGTATATCAGAAACAATTCCTAGAGTTCATAGCCCAAGGTTTTGTCAAAGCAAAATGGCCAATTCAAACACCTCTGGCGTTTGCAATACTCAAATGCAAATAATTTTCAGCTCACTTCCTTAACAGCAGGTTGCATTAACCAGACAAAGCTTTTAAAAGGCAGCATCTAGTGGAACGCTGATGCCTTTGGCTTTGTGGCATTGTATCACATGAAATCACCATCTGGATCAGAGGAGAAGAGGATCAGATTTTGGGGACAGCTGCGTGGAGGCTCTGGAGCTGTGACATGATGTCATGCACTCCACATGCTCCCTGGGCTAACTGCCCGCCGTTGGCGTAAAGACTCCCATTGGGGAAAAGCCCAAGCTAAGCTACAATCTGTGCCAGCATAGTCATCAGAATTAGACAATAACAACAGAGGCCTTTGTCTTAGAGCGCTGTCGAAATCTGCCTTGGAATAGTCACAAGAAATGAAAGAGGTAGAGGCTGTTGGATCTCTCTTAAACCTTAGGTATAAACTGGATTCACTGCTAAGCTGTGATATACTTTGGGGTTTCGCTGATCAAGCTACCCTACTTAGAGGATAGTTTGCTACTCAGATGCTACTCAGAGCATCATGCTAGAGGTCTTTCTTTCCCTGGAGCCCAAGGAAAGATGATTCCTATAGATCAGATGGAAGATGTAGGTCTGATCCAGTTCTGGGATAATACATTAGTGATCATTCCCAGACCTTCCCTTCACTCCCAGGGCTACACTTGTTGTATTGTGACTTTGAGACTGATCCTGCCATTGTTAGTTGGGTAAATATTCCATTTATGTCAGTGACCCAGATGGTGCAGTCTCTCCATAGGGAAGCTGCCAATTTACCCCAATCTTGAAGTTCATTTTTACGTAATAAGTTTTCATTTAATCAGAAGATGACCTGAATATTCATTTGGGTAGGGACTGGCTTAGGAAGTCAGGATTTGGCCTCTCTGTAGCTAAGAGGTATGTTTGGAGTGAATATATCTTTGGGTGGTTCTTAAAAGATACTATTTGTGTCAAAACCTTTTCTGATATCATCATACGTACAATAACATTACAACGGTACTGCTAAAGCAACACCCTGGACTAAGTCCAAGGCTTCTGCCTTCATAATCTCTTGATGTTCTGAGTTAGCCACAATTATCCAGAAATATTCTGAATTAAACACAGAGAACAATTAGAATTTGATTTTTCTTAGGAAACACTGACTTAGCTAGGATCCTTGCTGTGCTAATGATGTCCTGGACTATGGGCTCCTGTCTCTGGCCTGATACTTTTTACTGGGCAGAAGCAACTAGGTGCCACATAGGAGCAGTTTTTGTCTGTGCAGGATGTGTCTTGCTCTTTATTTTGAGCCTTGCACTTTGTAGTGTGATGCTCCACATCTGCTATCAGGAAGAAAAACCTCCTGCTGTATATGTACTGATCTTGATGGTAAAACAATTACTGTGGACATGGAAGAGCAGAGTCATTCTCCAGTGAAGCATGTAGCTATTTAGAAAGGGGCAAGTATACTTTTTTTGAGATAAGATTCACCACAGAAAAAAATGTATTAACTATAGCTCAGGAAAAAGAAAGAAAAAAAAAAAAGGAAACAAGGTTTTGAGAACTTCTGGCTTGTATTTGCTAACTTTTCTGGAATATAGATGTATAGTCTAGGAGTACGGTGTTCTGCTATAACACATTCTCTGATCTCCTTTTACTTTCAGAAGAAGAATGTTTTCCTGATAAAAACAGCAAAGCAGCTCCCATCGCGGTGGGCCTGAGTATCCTGGGATTGTTTGTCATTGTGTTTGCCACATTCCTGATTTCCAGAAGAAAGCCACATAGAGGATACGAACGTATCTGAGATGCCCTTGTACTTCCAAATGTGCGTAGCAAGTAGAGAAGTTACAGGAGTTTTAGCTTCTACCTGGCAATCTCATTGCCCTGAAGCCATATTTTTAAGTGGGATGACACCATGTGTTTAAAGCTAATGAATATTTCTGGAAGTGATTTCTTTAAGGTGGGAAGGAGAGAACTCACACCATCTACTTTAGGCTATTTTTAGCATCTAATTTAGATGTAGTCCAGAGGACCAAAGTGAGGAGCCTAAATTGTTTATATTATCAACAAAGGAGGCAATTCAGACCACCTAAGTCAGATGCCTAAAAATAGCTTAAAGCGGGCAGTATCACTATCCCCCAGAAAATCCATCAGGTTTCTTGAAGATGGCATTTAGACTTATTAAAATAGATGAGTCCAGTGATACGACCTGCAAGTGAATAAACCAGAGGTCCACAGCTACAGACAACCCTGTTAAATCACAGCTCAGTGGAAGCCTTGTGGGAACATTGTGTATGCTGAAGTCTCAGGGCAAGTGTAAGTGTGACTTCCATTCATAAGCGAGTTCTCACCTGTCCTGTAAATATCAGGGTTACATTTCATAAGTTCTTGTTCTTTCCTACTAAGCCCTTCGGAAGAACACAGTGGTCATATGCGACTCTCACTCTGGAGGCAGTATTTTTAGAAAATTTTCTAGTTTCCAGTGACTGTGTATGCAAATAAGAGAAGATTACCCAACTGAGGTCATACAGGGTCTGCCCTGTATAGAGATGCCCGACCAGTATGTTCCAAAATTATCACTTGTCATTGCTTGTCTCAGCCCTGCTGCAAAGATGTCTGAGCTTCTTGCCAATAATTCTTGAACTGCATAGAGCACAGCACATTAGAGCAATCTGACGTTGGTAAGTTTATCCTGAAGTGTTATGTTGTAAACTGCACAATTCAGGAGCTGATTGACAGGCAGCTGAGATGTCTGTGCAGCGGAACTAGGCAGGCAGTAACTCCATCCATCTGCCACACCAGGCCAAGCCATCCCACTTGCCGATGGGCGCTCAAGGCACAGCATCCCTTTGCCACATGTTTGCAACACAACGTGGAAAAAGCTAACATGAGGGTGTGAAAGCACTTGTGACACATGGGCCAGTGCTGAGGATGCCAGTGCAATAGATGGGGACTGGGGTGAATGCTTGATAAATTCAAGGAGCTTAATATTTTGCGGTCTTGTGAGAGCTCATGAATCACCCACTTCCTATTCAGACATGGACCTGTGACAGTGACTGCCACTGAACTCAATAACTGTCCCTCCACTGAGATGGCAGCACTGTGATCTCTCTTAATCTGGGAAGATACCACGCTCACTGAAAATGCCAGGGATTAAGTGGCCACAATTATGGCAGACCTACACAAAGTCCATGAGTAAATGGAAATCCACTGATGCTGTATGTTCAAGACTTCTGTGGGAAGTAAAAGCTTGCACAGGCCTTGGACAAACTCTCTTTGTTGTAACAAGGAAAATCTCCTTGTCACAAAAGATTTACAAAGCTAAACATATGCACAAACGTGCACATACACACACAGACATATGCACACACCACATACAAATCTGTTCACTGCAGCAAACAACATCAAAATGGTAAGAAATTATATATTAAAACATTTACAAAAGAGAAAGTAATATTAAATAAGAGCACATTTCTCCCTTAGGAGTTAGGGTAATGACTTAAATTCTACCAATAAAAGTTTTGCCTGGAAAAGGACTGTGGAATGGCACCCATTAAACAAAGGAAAGACTGAAGTTATCTGCAAAAATGCCTTGTTGTTAGTTTAATCTGGATCTAAACAAAAGAGATGCTGGGAGATAATTTAATTTCCATTAATAACGGCCCAAATCCTGAGCAATTATTAATGCTGATGAAACTTCACTGGATTTTCACTGGGTAAAACTGATGATAATATCTTGTGAGTTTAATTTCCTTTAAGTATTTTTAAAATAGTTTTGATATTTTACTAGTATTTAACCATTGAGAGTTTACTTATTTAAATCAAGAAAGTAAAGCAATCCTTCAATTCCATGAATTACTAGAAGATGCTGGTCTGTGTCAAGTAGAAACATGGTCATACTGTTCCATAATTGACATCATATGTAGCCGTGGAAGTAATTAAGAGTCTCCAGAAATGTCCCCTTTGAGTCTGAATGAACCAATAAATAAGAAAGATAAAGACAATTTTGAAGCACTTTTGCGCTTGGAGAAGCATAAGACAGAAGTCAGAACCAGCTGCGAGCAAGGGAAGCAGTTGAATACGATTATAAGGTAAAGTAGCACAAGAAACAGAATACCAAACTTTCAAACCTTTAACACAGATACAGTGATTTGAAGTGTATTCAGTTGAATACAAACTGAAATTTGAGTGTTTGGATTATTATTTTGTAAAAGGCTCCAGCACTGTTAATATTGGTCAGTCAACTTTATCTAGATTATTTTCACCCTTCCTCCTTTCCCCCCTGGTTAGTGGACAAGCTAGTGGCATTGTTCAGGCCCTTGGATTAGTAAGATCCCTCTAGTTCTCAGGGTTAGTTAATACTATTAACCTGTTGTTTAGAAAGCAGATTTTTATACTTGATGAAAGCAATCACATTTTTTTAAAACAAGAGAATTGATGAGGTGTCCAGCAGGAAAGGTAAATATATGGAAGAGCTTCCATTCGAAAATGAGCCTAAGTATGCAATAGTGATGTTACTGTCCCAAACTGTTACATGTGGACATTTTAACAACAAACACTGCCTAAAAAGCTCAGGCCCGCACATGATCTGACCCTAAGCCATTCTCACTAGTGATCAATAGACATCTTCCCTGTTCAAAACTAAGTCCTGTTTACATGTTCACATGTTGGATTGTTGGGTTGCGTGATCTGTACGGTTTGTTACTTCTATTGATATGGATATAGCATTTTCTTGTTATGGTCTGTACTGAAAAATCTCTTTATGTCAATATTCAGTCTTTTAATGTTTGATAGCAACAAGAGGAGAGAAAACTGTTCTTACTGACTGATAATTCTGTGTTTAACCTTGTGCCCTCTGGCATTTTTACCGATGATGCAAAGTTAATGTTTCCCCCACACACACTTTTTTCTTTCTACAGCAAATCAAACTGTTGGTATTGAACAATGTTTGGATTCAGGTTTACCTGATTTGTTCTTATGCTTTTTGTTTCTATTATTTGTTTGCTATTTTTATGAAGCGCATACTGCCCTTTCTACATGAATAATACTCTGGGCTTGCTCTAAACGGCACAAGTGAAGTGCACGTGGTACAAACCGATGAAACAATTGGAGGCTCCCATGAAATGATGCCACCATGCAGCAAACTGAATCCAATGGAGTTAGAACTTTACAGTGGTAGAGGATCCACTGGAGAATTCCTTACTGCATCAGGAGATCCCAGCCCCTAATGTGCAACCTTCCTCCCACCTGCAGCCCAGCCTGCACGCCATCACCTTCTTCCCTGACCACTAAACACACAAACCGCCTGCAGCAGGGATGCGTGTCAGCATGCCAGCATAGCAGGGAGTGTTGCCTCTCTGAATTTAATGTTGAGTTAGAATTAGACAGCCCAGCTGCTCCGAGTTGCCATGTGCAGCTTTTAAAGCTGATGCCTGTATTTATTTTCTGCCAGAATTTAGGTAGATATTTGGCTGGCACTTTTTTATCTAATGGAGTTGCTCTGAGGTCCTCCTCCCAGTGGGAAAACTCTCTATAGGTGTAATTGGTCTTGGCTGCCAGACTTTCTCTTTTAAACATTTTGTCCGAGGAAACATTTTGAGCAAAAAGTCCCTGAAGGAGCACCACACAAAGAAGAGCCTCTTACGATAAACTAGTTGTACACTAGGTGGGCCATAATAATTATACCATGGGCAGCAGGGCACAGTTTCTTTGCTTCCTGTTGGTACGGATGTAAATCAAAACGGTATTTTCTAAGCCTGGCAGATTGCTTCCCTTCCAGGGCTGCTCTTTGCCATAGTCAGAGTCTTGTTCAGCAACCTGCTCACTGCTTGGGACAGGGGTTCACCAACCAACCTGCCCTAAAAATCTGCATGCCAAAAGCCTCATATAGTCAGCATGAGCCCTTGTACCCAGAGAGCTGAGAGAAAAGCAGAGTCTGCTGTGGGAGGGGGCAAGGTTGCAGCTGGCTCTGACAGTGACCAGCAATGTTGGTCTCATCAGCCCTAGCTCACTTCCCCCCGCCATTGCGGACTCAGATCAACCCATCCCTGAACCAGAAGATAATGATCATGATGACATGATGCATCCCATCAGGGAAGCTATGCTTAACTTGCTTGCAAGCATGCGCTGGTCAGGATACCGTGGGGCCACTCATAGAAATTAGGAGGTGAGCACATCCCTACAGCTCCCTGATGCTCTGCTACAGCTCTCAGCCCAGACCATTTACTATGGTCTCTTGCACACCCCAGGTAGACACAAGGGCATCCCATAAGTATGATGATGTCATACTTAGCCAAATCACCAAGGAGTTTATAAAGCAAGATTTAATTTCTTTCAGTCCTTTTTGCTCTCTGATGGACAAACAAAGTCCAAATTAAAAAACAGCTGTTAATTCTGGTTGAAAGAGAACGGGAGATGTAGATTAGCTTCTTGAGTGTGTGACTAGGGTTTCGTTGGTCACTTCTAGCTTGCTGCAATACATGGTTGCTAAAAATTAATTTGCTATGAGAAGTAAGATATGCTCTTTATTTTTCTATTATTGGTGTTTCTATAATAAAGGTTGTATTTAGTCATTAAAGTGTGCATTGCTGTGCAATTATTTTCTCTCTCGAGTGCTGTTTCACCTAAACTGTTTAAAATACAAGTACAATCTAACAAACAGGCAGGGTCGCATGGGCTCTGGACACAAGCCACAGACACAGATAAGCTTATATCCTAACCATAACTTTGATGATTATTTCTTCTGTGGCTTGGGCAGCTCATCTGACATTTCTATCTTTGTTTCATCAGCATTACCAAAAAAAA